GCTAGAAGAACAGAAAATACTTATTGGAAGAAAGACTAGCAGAAAAAAACCCCAGACTGTTTGAATATTAGAACATCAAGCATGCTGTTTTCCTTGGAGGCAAGAAAGCCCATCAGGGAAAACTCCCTTGTAAGACTGAAACTCAAAGGAATCCATGAGCAGCCTAGTATGCTCTCTGGTGACCACCCTTGTCTACTTGTGAGTAGAAGTGGGGGACATGCAGTAATGAAGACATGGGCTGAGTATGATCATTTTCCATAGGCACCTGTTGACCTTGAGATGAGAGAGAGAAGAGGAAGTACTGGTTGGTCTGAAGTTTAGGGAGATATGTGAATTCCTGAACCCATGGACACTGACCTAGCCACTGGGGGTTAGAGCTGAGAGTGAAGTGGACAGCTGGTCTGAAGTGTGGGGAGGCATTTGTGAACTCTCAAAGTTGCAGATAGTACCCACTTTAGATAACTTGGATGGCTAGCTGACCAGAAGCTGACCAGTTGAAGAGTAAGACCTGGATCTTTGCTTATGGATATACTTGCTCAAAATTCCAATGAAATAGAAGGATTCTTCAATCAAGGGGGGTAAGGTAGAGTCACCACTGAATGGTTTTCCTCTTTTTCCAAATGGATCTTGTAAAAGGGGGTGGGGGATGGTGTTGATAGGATTTTATGAATCAATTTTGAGAAATTGTTATCAGGATTAATCACAGTTGTCACTACTGTAATTACAGAGGATGTACAACTGAAATGAGGGAATAGTTAATCTTTTGTGTTATTAACAGAGGACACTAGGGCCATCAAGGAGGAAGAGCATGAGATCCTATCCAGAAAAGCAGTGACAGCAGAGACAATGGCAGAGGCGATGGCATAGAGAGATAGAGCAGCTGAGGACTCTAGGTCCATGGCCTGAGAAAGGCTCTATACCTTCAGGCAGGAGGCTGGCTTGCAAAATGTGCCCTCTGGACATTTAAATGAATATACATACACATTTTTTTTTTTGTATGTGAACATCAAATATTTTTGATTTTTTGGTTTGTGAAATATCAGATGTAAATGGAAAGCAGTGGGGTGTTATAGGAGGGGAGTGTAATCTTTGAGATGAAACAAAACGTATGATTGGTTGAACGTAAAGCTGATGATCTTGTCTGTTATCTTCACTCAATTCACAATAAAAAGTTGAAAACAAATGCATAAGTATAAAAATGAAAATTGAAACAATGGAATATACTATATATCCAATTGTTAGAAAGTGACAGTGGTAAAATTAGTGTCACCACTCTAGAAAATTATTTGGCCTTCTCTATTGAAGTTGTTGTTAAGTGCGGTTGAATCAGTACTGACTCACAGCGACCTTATGAAGGAGTTGGTAGTGGGTGTGAACCACCGACCTCGTGGTTAGTAGTTCAGTGCCTATCCTACAGCACCATACCAGGACTCTTCCCTAGCATAGTAGAATATATGTATTCCAGCAATTTTACTCTCAAGAATATACCAGCTTAATGTCAGACAGATGCTCTATCTACATTTGTTTGTGCATTTGTGTTTATATATAAAGCTACACAAACACAAATCATCTGGAGCATCCCAAAATGTATAAATGAAATAATCATTGCATTGAATTTGAAATAATCCAAGAGAGAAAACAAAACTAAATTTTTAGGAAAATCAAGGTAATACTTTAGAAACTAAAGAAAAATATAATTTGCAAACAAAAATGATATATCAGTGTATTCACTGAAGTCTGTTTTTATGGTCTAGAACTCTAAACTACCCAAATGTCTATCAACAATAACAATGATAAATAAATTGCAAGTCTGCCAGCTGCTACGCAGGAGAAAGATGAGGCTTTCTGCTCCTGTAAAGATTTAAAACCTTGGAAACCTTATACAGCTTTTCAATGAATCGGAATCAACCCGACAACACTTAACAACCACAACATTCTCAATGCACAATACTATATGAGGGTAAGTTAAGAATTATTGCTACAAAATCACAGAAACCCTTACTACACAAAAATAACAAAATGTGAAGCTATTGTTTCTTACCATATCTTTCATCTAAATCTATATACTTCTGAAGGTGTTTCCGTCTATCTCTTCCCTAAAGAATTCTGTGCTTTATGTTTTCACCATGTCAAAATGCAAGTTTTGATATCCTTGAAGGACTCAAATTACGATCCTTTTCCATAGTGGTTATGAATTGGGCTGCGAGCTGCAAGGTCAGCAGTTTGAAACTACCAGCTGTTCGCGAGATAAAGATGAGGCTTTCTGCTCCCATAAAGATTTACAGGCTCGGAAACCCTGTACAGGGTTGCTATGAATCAGAACCGACTCCGTGGCACACAACAACAACTGTTTTTTGCATTTGGAGAAAAAAAAAAACAAGTCTGAAGGGGAAAGATCAGGGCTGGAGGATGGATGGAGAAAATTTTCAACAACAAAATTCTCCTATGACGTTCTTTGTTACACTCAAAGAATGAATAGGTGCATTGTCATGATGGGGGGGGGGAAGAAAATTCCCAAGTATAACTTTCCTGGCCTTTTCTCACCAATGGAATTTTCAATTTTCTTAAAGCTTCTTCATAATAACCTCTGTGTTTATTCTGTGTCTGTTAAGAACATCTATCAAGATTATCCCTCTGGAGTTCCCCAAAACATTCACTATCATCTCACGAGCGAACTTTTATGTCTTGAATTTAACTGGCCAGGCAGACACCATTGGAAGCCACCTTTCTGATTATTAAGACTTTGTTTAGAAGGCACCCTAATGAAACTAAGATAAGTGTATTACTCAGAAAACTTGTCTTTAGCCATCTACTTATTGTAGAGACATGTTTAAACATGTTTCATTTGGAATAAGCCCTTGAATGTATGAACTAGAACCCTACTAGCAGTATTTTTTTTACTTTCTTATGTATCAATGAGTGAAAAATCTACAACTATTCATAAGAGAATGATTGACTCCTTCAAAAAATAATTTTGACTGAAAGATGCCAGACAAAAAAGAATATGGTTCTATTAACATAAAGTTCAAACCTAGGCAAAACTAATTGATGCTGCTGAGTGGTTCATATAGTGTTACCCAATGGTACGTGTATGGGGGCAGAAACTAGAAGTAGACACAATAAGGGCTTCTGGGATGCTAGAAATGTTCTGTTGCTAGATCTGAGTACTTATTTTATAAAAATTAATCAAGTTCTTCCACTAATTCATAAATCATGTCAAAGTGAGCTGACTTTTACATTGGTAAAACCATTTTAAGAGAAGTTATCTAAAATAATAATTTAGAGAGATGAATTTAAATGACTGTAGTTAATTTAACTGGCCCAAGCCAAACTATCTGGCCTACTGATTGGAAGAGATCCATATCTGTGCCCATTCCAAAGAGAGGTGACCCAACGGAATTCAGAAATCATCGGACGATATCTTTGAAATGAGGGGAGATGCATAAGAACCCTAAACTTGCACATAGTACCCATTTGACCTAGCCGTGATGGCTTGATAATCAGAACTCGACTAGAGGAAGATTTTTTTAAATTGTTTTTTTTTTTTTTTAAATAAAGGAAATGAAGGTAAATTGTTACAATTTGATGAACTTGACCTATATTCAGGGAGGTAGTAGCCCTAAATACCAACAGAGAGAAAAGGAGTCTTCATTATCAAGTGTCTATGATATCCCCTCTGTACACAGGGTAGACAGGGACAGGCAACTTAGATACTAGCTACCTAAAATGTGGGTGCAATGAAGGCACAAAGTGACTGGCTTACAGGCTTTCAAGACAGAATTTAGTTTAAGAGCGTGTGAGGGAAGATATAGTACCCACTGAATAGTATTCATCTTGTTTAGATGGGTCTGGTCAAAAGAAACGGGGATAAGAGTCTTATGATTCAATAGTGAGTAACTGTTATCCTGAGTAATTGCGACTGTCACAATTGTAAATGTAGAAGTTGTGTAACAAAAACAGGGGAGTGGTTAATCTTACAGTCCAGAAACAGAGGACCCTAGGACCATCAAGAGAGAAGAGCACAAGCAGAAGGTGGGACCTTATCCAGAGAAGCAGCCACACCAAAGATGGAGGCAGAGATGGGAACATGGAGAGAGGGAGTAGCTGAGGACTCTAGATTCATGGGAAGAGAGGGACTGAGAGCTGGTGGCCAGGAGGCAGATTTGCAGAATGTGCCCTTTGGTGGTATAAATTATTATATATGCCTGAATGTTTACAAAAAAATAAATAAAAGAGCTAAAATGAATAGAGAGATACTGTTAACTGATGGTACATGGAGAGGATTATAATCATTGTAATGAAACAAGGTGTATGATTTGTTGAATGTAAAACTGATGATCTGCCCTGCAAACTTACACTCAATTCACAATAAAAACTTCAAAAATAAAAAAGACAGGCAGGTGAGGTTTTTACAAGAGGCTATGAAGGCCAACATAGAAGGCCCAGGACAAAGGGCATGCCTAGTAACTTGGAGTGGAGGTTGAAGGAAAGGTGGTGATGGCGAGTGAAAGTAGTATACTTTATGTGCTGTAACACTGTCAAGGCTAATTATTTCCTTAAATTCTTTCTTAAGATTGTATACAGCGAAGAGCTCATTAGGACCTTGGTAATTTTTATTTTTTCTTTTGGCCTTCTTGTTCCTTGAATAAATAGATTTTTCAAGCTAATGCTGTGGATTTTCCTTAAAATATATACAAGATTGTTTTTTCCCCCCCGTAAATTGAGTAGACATAGATCATGTTCCATGAAAATTGGGCAATTCTGACCAGTAGCATATTATTAAGTCATGCAAAATGCATGCATCTTTAATTTGGTAACCACTGCTTCTCTGTGTATATCTTCCGTTTTTAATTCTTAGTTATTCTATTATATATTTCTTTTGAAATACGTAACCAACTGTAAATCCATTTCAGAAGGTCATTTCAATAAATGCATAAAACATATTCTGGTAATTCTCTGAAACTCGCAGTATACTACTTTGAAGTTAGGTGAGCACTCACCCTGTAGATGTAATCCAACAAGGGGGCTCTGGTCATATGCTGCTCATCCAGGACGGTTGTTGATACTGGGTGAAGAAGGGCTGGCACTGGTAATGCCATGCACCAGTCCAACAGGCAAAGGAGCAGAGAAACAATAAACTGAAAGAAAGACACAGTATTTTATACTACAGTCTTTTCAACTTCACTACATAGCATGCTATGTAGCATTCATACATTGAGAAAAACAAAAAAGGTAGGGAAAATTTAGCTAGATAATGTGTCACCTACCTTCTTATCTGTTTCCATTGACGAGTATTCTGCACTTGGTAAAAGAAAAGCGATTGTGGCCACAAGGATCTGCATACAAAATAAATCCCCAATCAAACAGTCTATAGTAATAGTGTTGGAAGTCATAGGTGAAGAGTTCCAAGATGGCCTTATGAATAAACCTTGCTTCAAGCCTACTCATGAAAAGGTGATCAAAGTAAAGAGCCAATCAAGGGTTATGTATGATCTTGAAATTAGGAGAACCAGGGACCATGCTTGATTTCTACCCCATCCTAGTGCTGGGGATCACAGTGGACGGAAGCAACATTTCTCTCTGCATTTACCCCATGAACACTGTTAGTCCTCACACCTTTCACACTAAAAATGATAAAATTCAATTTTCTTATAAGTTACCAGATGTCTCCACTGGTTGTCTTGGCAGAGCATGCCTTTTATTCTCAACAGCATTCTTGTTTAAATGATAAATTATCTGGTTGCCTTAAAATCGAACTTTAGATTTTACAATATCTTATATTCTTATGCCCAAAGCTCCATTTCACTCTAGGTCATTCAAGGTCATGTGTCCCTGAGAAAACAAAATGATCTCACCAATGAAATTTGTCTAGGGCTGAGAGAAAATAAATCAATATTGCCTCTTCTCTTTCTGTCTCTGAAAAACCACATGGGGAAAAATCAAATTTCCTTGAAGAGTTACCACTAGATGTGTAAACAACAGAGTATGTTTTTAAAAGGGCAGCTATGAAAGTTTCCAGAAATGGATGTGCCTTACCACTTGACACCTATAGAAGATGAGTAATTGGGTGAGAGCAAACACCATCAAATGTAACCAAGCTCCGGAGCCTTACTGTTCAGATGATTCTTCCTATGCTTTTTGTCTCCCTCCCCTACAAACATCCCACTGAAGTTATTGTAAGAGTAATACCATTATTGGTTGGTAATCAAGCTTATTGCAGAAAGCATGGTTCAGGGCTGTAGTTGGCCAGAGAGTCCTCTTTTAGACAATCCCTGGCCACTGGAAGGGCATCATAACAAGCTGCCTATTCCTTGTTGGAACCAACCAAATTGCTTTCGATAAATGAAGTTCCATTGACAAAAAGTCTCTTTGTTGTAGTAGTGCCTGCCTTTCAAACTTCCCAAGTGTATGCCTCTGCCCTGGGACACTGGGGGCTTCTTTCCACATACTTGACATCAAGAACCTATTCAATATAATCTTACAACAAACAATTCATGTGGCAGTTTTATAGTAGTTTCTCTAACAGTTATTTGAACGTCTACAATTAATTAACTATCAAATAAAAAAAAAAAGAAATGCTTATTATGTTTTATAATTACAAAAAAAAGACTTACTTCTGCAATTTTCCGAGGCATAGAAGTTTCAAACATTTGAAGCTTTTCCCAGTAGGAAACCAACAACTGAAGCACATCACAAGCTACTTGAGCCACAGTTTTGTTAGGAAACTATTAAAGGAAACAAAACACAAACACAAATAACATAACTAAATAAGCATATGATTCCTTAGGAAGATCAATATAGGGTTACATGTTTGTTTTGCATAAATTGATGAAAAATATGTCCTATTACCAGATAGCTTACACATGATTACACAAACCATCATTCTCTAACTGCCTCTTATTGAGCCTAGTTATATTAACATTCTACAGAAGTAAGTATCTGTCATTTAATCATTTGTAAGTTTAAACCATATTTCATATGCCTTCTTCAGATCACATAAATCATACTTCTGATAAATGAGAGGAAATTAAAATGTAATGCATTACTGGGTATCCACTGTGTGTGGAAGCTTTTATGAGAATTTTACTAATTCTCTCATTGAAAAATCTTCATTAACAGCTCTGCAAGGTAGGTGTTATCTTCATTATACACATGGAGAAACAGGAATTTGAGCAAATGACTTTCTAGCCTGTGAAAGAAAACTTAAACCATGTAAAATACTAAGAAATGTGTGATATTAGAAACTACAAAAAAATAATTCACAGGTTAGAACATAATTAATTACTTTGAATATGTGCTTTAAGGTGACCACCAAAGTCTTTGAGAGGTTCTGTTCTTTTGAGCTAGCATTTCAAGGGATGCAATCTGTAAGGTCCCTTGGCTATCACACTTCTCCATGCTGGGATGCATGAAAGGGGTGAGGGCACCCTTTTCTGGCCACACTGCTAACCACACCTAAGTATCTAGAGCAGAAAGGCTTGTTGCTGACCTCATGTTCCTGCTATTGTTAACTGCTGTTGAGTAGGTTCTGATTCATAGCGACCCGGTATAGGCTTTTCAAGAAACAGCTCATGGGCTTGAACTACCAACCTTGTGGTTAGGAGTTTGCTTATCCTACAGCGCCACACCAGAACTCTAGGGAAACCTCTGGATACATACTTCCATACCAGGAGCTCTGTGCCATGTGATATGGACAACCTTGACATTTGCACCACACAAAACTACAGATAGGCTATATTGAGCACCACAGTGACACATATATAGGATAAGGAGGAAGGTAAGGGAAAGGTAATTAACTTAAATAGTACAGAATAAATAGCTATGTACACCCATACTGAGGTATCTGCCCCCAAGAGCTATTCAGTCTCACTCTGGCCACACAGACCCCAGATGACCTGGCCCCCACTAGCCTCTCTCCATCCCTCAAATACTCTTATTTCTAACCCAGAGCCTTTGCACCTGCTCCCAGCTTTACCTGGGACGCTCATGCCTCACGATGAACGTGGATGACACCGCTACATCTTCAGACATCTTTTGCATGAGGTCACTGCGACCATCCCCAGGAATTCTCCCCAACACCAGCTCTTCAGCTTTACCCTGCTCCCTGTTCTAGTTGCATGATAGCATGAATGACTCTGGGAGCTGATCTTAGGGATTGCTTGCTTGTTCCTTTATGAGTTTATTTTCCTGTTCACTATTACATCCCTGATGCCTAACACAGCCTGTTAAAGGAAATATATGGTGTATTTGAAGAGTAAGTGGAACCAGGATCACTGGAAATGTTTCTGTTGTACGACACTGGAAAAAGTCACCGGGCAGAAGGACAAAGCTGGCATGGTTCAGGAAGCCAGAACAGGTCACGGGAATGTGATGAGAGGAGTTATCAGAGGCAACAGTGAGGCGCTCAGTGTGGCAACAAGAAGGGACTAGTATATGCTGGACTGCTCAAGGTTGGAACGTAGGATCATTCAGGTTTTTGCTCTGGAGTTTTGAGAAAGTTCAGTTATCACCTCCATTAATACAATGACAACATTTATCTCACAACTGCGAACTGCACAAAAGCATGAGCACAGTGGCTGGCAGAGACAAGGCCCTTGCTAAATCTGGAAGTAGAAATAGCAAGAATGCTTACTGTCACCATTATTTCTAAGCAGGAGCTAGGGAATGGCTGGCAGACTCTGAGCACTTGTTTCAGAAGCAGTCTATCAGCCCATTTAAAAGCTCAGGTGTGACTATAATGCTGCACAGATATGCTTTTGGTGCATGGCTGTGGACAAATGACTCAATTTCTCTAGGCCTGTTTTCGTGGGTGTAAATTAGGGACTGTAACATCTACCTTACAGAGCTATGGTGAAGTCTGATGAAAGTATTTAGATAATTTACTATTAATCTGGCCCAATACTAAGTAACCAATAAATAATAGTTCTTTTTATTAACAAACAAGGAAAGATGTCCTAAAAATGTCTAAGTTTGAGTATCCACATGGTCCCTAGTATTCAGGACCCCTGGCTTGCAGCTGTTGAGGTCTTTCTGTGGTCCTGCTGTGGAGATCAGGGCAGGAAAGCCCATTTTCTTGTGACTCTACCTCGCAGATAACAAGTGTCCTCCTTATGCAGGAGTTACCCAGCCACCAGAGCAACCAGGAAACCAGGCACAAAGGTTGGGTTGGGAAATGCCCAGGTTCTTGATGAGCAAGCAGACTTATGTGGCCTCTCCTGAGACCCTCACAGTAAATTCAACACAGCTTTCAGAATAAAGAACTTTGAATCACCACCTCAAACAAAGACAGGACTGACTAATGTAAACTAAAATTAATCTCAATACCTTTGTTCTGGTTTACTGTTAAATAAACATCATGAATTGGTAAATACCTTTAGAGTTACGCCTATCACATTGATGGCTTCTTTCACCTGTGGATGGCTTGTACAGTGTGCAAGTTCTTCACAAATCCAGACCCCGAGAGAACAAATGGCAATGCATCTTTTTTTAAAAAAGGAAAACTATCATGAAACTTAAGATATTAAATAATGAGGAAATACTTCAAAATAGCAAAACTTATACTTTACATTCATAGCACATCTCACTGAGAGAAAAGTTACCCTTAATGGGTCAGTTTTTAGGACAAATAAGAATCTTGCTATTGGTAAGTATTTAGTTATTTAAAAATCAAATGGCCTATTTTTCGTTAATTTTCATATCACTTATTTTAATTTAAACTAGTATTTTATAGTTCATATTCCTAGACATTTTTGAGGAATCAAAAATAAGAATCTTAGAAAACTATTGATGTTTTTGAGTTTGTAATTGTTTTCCTTACAATAAGATGCACAACATCTACACCACAAACAGAAGACAAACCCTGTGGTTTATTTTAATACATATTTGAATACAACTCTCAAAATATATTTGTTTTATCTTTTAAACAATAATAGTCTTCAATTAGCATAATCCTTCAAAAATTGGTAGCGCAGTGGTTACGAATAGGGCTGCGAACCGCAAGGTCAGCAGTATGAAACTACCAGCTGCTTTGCGGGAGAAAGATGAGGCTTTCTGCTCCCGTAAAGATTTACAGCCTCGGAAACCCTGTTCAGGGTCACTATGGGTCTGAACCAACTTGATGGCACTTAACAACAACAACAACATAGATCAATTTTAAGTGGTAGTACTCTTTGGAATCGATATGGTTCACTGTTTTGTGTAATGATACAAAAATGATAAAATGATCTTTCTGTCAATTTTCTTTTGATGACATATACAAAAATTCAAATACCTGCTTCCAAATCTGCTCATTTTCAGAACAAAAACCCATGGCCATCAAGTAGATTCAGACCACAATAACAATACAGGATCAAACAGAACTGCCCTGTAGAGTTTCCAAAGCTATACATTTTTATGGAAGCAGATAGCCACACATTTCTCCTCTGGAACAACTGGTGGGTTTGATCCACTGACTTTCAGTTAGCAGTCAAGTGCTTAACCACTGAGGCACCAGGATTCCTTTTCAGAACAAAAAGAGGACTCAAACTACTGAGAAATGGTCTAAAATGTTATCTGCATCTGCTGTATTGTATAACAAGAGAATAAGTATAATGCCAATCAAATGGTACTAACTGCTCAGGACTTCATACTGAAAGTTCCTTTGTATTTACTATCATTTTGCGTTGAAAAACACTGCATTTTGAGTATGTTCTGATGTATACACCTTCACTGAAATAAAATAATTTAAAAAAATCAGTACTTTTAGATTGTATCATATTTCACAAGATTCTGACATGTCCAACCAGAACAGATGAAGTTCTTTATAGTTTATTTACATGGATTAAAACCCCCTTGGGGATCATGTCACTGTTCCACTCCATAAAAGGGACCAAGCCAACTCCATAAAAGCAGTATAACTCAATTACGAGGTGTGTCAGGTTTTTCTTTTATTTATCAGCACCATTATTATAGAGGAGTTCTGTATGATCCTAACCCTTAGCTTTCTTTACTGCATTGTTCTTGTCTTATTCTAGTTAAGTACCATCAAGTCAGTTCCAACTCATTGCAACCCCATATAGGGTTTTCAAGGAGCAGCTGGTGGGTGTGAACTGTTGACCTAGTGGTTTGCAGTCCAGTGCTGATCCTACAACACCACATCAGGAGAACTCTTTACTGCATGTTATTGTTGTATGCCACCGAGTCACTTCCGACCCATAGCAACCCTGTATAGAGTTTCCAAGGAGCAGCTGGTTAGCTTAAATTGCCTACCTTGCTGTTCAAACCGACCTTGCAGTCCAGCGCAATCTGAACTGTCTCAATCTCTTTCTCTTTGCCTAATCCCTATTTTTATTCTTAATCTCGAAAGTGCTCTTTACATTCTTCGTTTGCAGTCATTCAATGTACTTGGTATTCTTTTGAAAGCTCTATTTCCCTCTAGTTCAATCCAAACTATGATTATTCAATCTACTAAAATGTATAAAATTATGAAGGTTAGTCAAAAAGTATTGCTTAAGAAAATCATAGAAATCTTTACTGAACAAAAAATATCAAAATGCAAAGCTATTGTTTCTTAACATATCCTCCAGCTAGGTCTATCCATTTCTGAAGGTGGTATTACCATCTTTCTAATCCTTCCATAGAGACTTCTACGCTCTTTAATTTAAACCACATCAAAATGGCAGTTTGGGCATCCTTGAGATACTCAAATTGTAATCCTTTTCATTGTTATTTGTTTTGGGAACAAAAAGAAATATGAAGGGGCAAGATCAAGGCTGGAAGGCAAATGAGGTAAGGTTTCCCAACAAAATTCTCATAGGATAGCTCTTGCTACTTTTGCACAACATTCCTAGCCATTTTCTTACCAATGCAGTTTTTAATTTCATTAAAACTTATAATTTGTTGTTGTTATGTGCCGTGGAGTCGGTTCCGACTCATAGCGACCCTGCACAGGGTTTCCGAGGCTGTAAATCTTTTACGGGAGTAGAATGCCTCCTCTTTCTCCCGTGGAGCCGCTGGTAGTTTCGAACTGCTGACCTTGCGGTTCACAGCCCGATTCGTAACCACTACGCTACCAGAGTCCTCATAATTGTTTTTGAGAAAATCTATCAAGATTACTCCTATGTGATCCAAAAAATCAGTCACTATAACCTTCCCTGCTTTGAAGTTAACTTAATTTAGCAGATCCCCTCAGAAACCACCACTTTAATTACACCTTACTCTCTGGATCCTGTTGTTGTTATGAAGTAAATGCAAAAGCTGCCCCTGATTAAAATTTGTTGTATAAAATTTTCTTCTATAGCTTTGATATTGTTTTTGAAGACTGATGGAAGGCTCAGCTCTGAGCTAGCTTATCTTTGCGCAACAATTTTGGCACTCAAGACAAAAACTTGATGAGGCCAAGGTGTTCATTTAAAATTGAAAATGCTCATTCATGTGAGATCCTAACTTCAGTAGTTACTGCATCGATGGCAATTCTATTGTCTTCTTCCAAGCATTCTGGAATTCTATACGGTTTACTTATTTGCTGAGGTTAACAAACCTCTTTTGGATCAACAGTGAGGTCTTCCTAATCAACTAAAACCCATTTTATTCTATGGGGTAACATTCAGTAAGCTGTTGCAAAGGAAAGCTTCAGTGATTTTGGAAGACACCACTTGAGTTTTGTTAAAAATGTGTTAATAGCTTTGACCTAAAAAATGCCCCCTCTCCCCCAGCATGGCCCAAAAAGTAATCCCTTTTCTTTTTTTAAGACACACTAAGTTATGGTGTTGGAGGAGAATATTGAAAGTGCCATGGGCTGCCAAAAGAACCAACAGATCCAAGAAGGCGTCCTTGGAGGCCAAGACGGCCAAACTTCGTCTATCATACTTCAGAAATATTGTCAGGAGGGACCAATCTCTGGAGAAGGATATCATGTTTGGTAAGGTGGAGGGTCAGAGAAAAAGAGGAAGACCCCCAACGAGATGGATTGGCCAAGTGACAGCATCGATGGACTCAAGCGTGGCAACAGTAGTGAGGCTTGCCCAGGATCGGGCAGTGTTTCGTTCTGCTGTGCATAAGGTCGTTATGGGTTGGTCGGTACCAACTCGATGGCACTGAACAACAACAAGAAGGAGTACTGGGGTGATGTGGCTCAGCACTGGACTACGAATCACAACACTTGTGGTTCTACCCCATCAGCCACTCCTTGGGAACCCTACACAGGGTCCCTATGAGTCAGAACTGATTCAATAGCACTTAACAAGAACTAAACTAAGTCAAGCGGGTTAATGAGAAAATGTGTCTGCAGCCATCAGAGATAGCAGAGACATATTCAAACATGTTATGTTTGGAATACACCCATGCATATATGAACTGGAATCCTAGTAGCAGTACATTTTGACTTACCCTCACAGATCCCAAATCATATTTTCACCTTTTTACAGGATCTCTTTATTTACAGACACCCTTTTTCTTTGTGTTTGTATATGTGTATATCTCATGACTCAATGAAGGAATCAAAATGGAAATTTTCAAACTTTAAAATGAAATGGTAAAAACATTATATATCAAAACTTTAAAAATACAAATAAAGTAGTGCCTAAAAAATAAACACATACAGGTATTCCTCTCTTTCTGAAAGATCCCTTTATGCCTATGTTAGTATTGTTTTGTTAGCCAAAAGAAATCTGAGTAGGATTTTTGCTTTATGAATATAGATGAAAAGTGAAACTAGTGTTCCGAGTTTGTTTTGCAGTTAACCATTAAAGAGGTATGTAGCAAGAGTAGTGTCGCCAGGAACTTCAACATCTCACCATCAAGTCACTGTACTTTTGAATGCTACATGCAAGTGTGATTTTAGGTTTTATGTGTTATTTGGTATGATTTGGTAGGTTAATTTTTGGGCCTGGAAACACTCAAATTGGTTTTTCACATACAAATTAATGGTAACTGTTTTTGCTTTATGACATTTCAATTTAAGAAAAGATTCAGAGCAATACTGTACTTTTTGATAGAGCAAAAATATAAAGAAAATAAACGGAAAGTAGGAAACAAAATTCTTGAATTGAGAACAAAGATATATCTATTATTTAAAAACAAAAATAAAAATGACAAATCTTTGGCAAGACTAATAAGACAAATCAGATTAAGTCCAAAAATGTTAGAGATTAAAAAGCAGATATAAATATAGATGTGACAAAGATAAAAGGTAATAAGTGAATAAAAACACATATATACAAGTAAATTTCAAACTTAAAAAAATGGACAAATAACTAGAAAATTTTAGTTTACCAAAACTATCAATGAATAGGGAATTCTGGCAGCATAATGGTTATGAATCAGTCTGCGAACCGCAAAGTCGGCAGTTCGAAACTACCAGCTGTTCCACAGGAGAAAGATGAGGCTTTCTGCTCCCGTAAAGATTTACAGCCTTGGAAACCCTGTACAGGGTTGGATGAGTAGGAACCGACTCCACGGCATATAACAACAACATCAATGAAAAGCAGTGGAATACTATCAGAATACAGAATATATAGCTTCAGAATACTGCCAGATATAGTGGCAGAAAATGAGTTTCTCAGGTTGGAAGTTCTGACTCTTATCATAGCAACCCTGTATAGGGCTTCTGTAGAGTGGCTGGTGTATTTGGACCACTGATCTTGTGGTTCAAACAGATCATAAGGTGGAGTACTTGTCCTATGGTGCCACACCTGGACTCATATAATTTTCCTTTGTTTTACACAGATAACACATTATATATAATCTTGTGTACTGTATTCACTTAATAATAATATAATATCATCAAGCAAAGCAATTTTTGACATAAATTCCTATTATACTTTTTAGTGGGTGTAAGACAGTGACTTTTGACTTTAGTTGTTCACATATACATGTGCGTGTTAAAATTATAAAACCGTTTACCTTCAATTCAACATTTACCTTGCACATTCATTTGGCTCCTCCATGGCATTCTTCAGTAAAATATTTATGAGGTAACGCTAAAAACACAAATTAAGTAAAATAAAAGCTTAGTTTCACAGTTTGTTCCTCACACCTGCTGACTATGATCCAGACGGTCAGGAACTCGGGAATGACCACGGAGCACAAAAAGCTCCACCAGGGAGAAGCTGAGAGGTTTATCCCGACACGCAAAGTGAGTTGACTATTAAAAATGGATTATAAATCTATAGTTTCTGGTATAAATTCTTAGGAGAGGGAAACACAAAAGGATGAGGATGGGGGCAGAAAAATGTGGGGTTTCAACCAGGGCTTCCCTGAGAAACTGAGAATAAGTGAGCATAAAAACTGAGAGGAGAGTATGTACCTGGGTGGACAATGGAAACGTAGCAAAGCAAATGAGATTTCTAGGTAGAAAATTCTCCATTACTTTAGACTTTAATTGGAAACAACACATTATATACTATCATGTATTTTAGAGAGCTACATAAATTCTGAGAGTTGAAAGCATTTTTATTTGCTCTACATTCATTTGAAGAGAGAAAAATGCTTACTTTTCATTTATTCCCCAAGAAATAATTTAGAATTTCACAATATTAGTATTACTTAATGAGGCAATAGTGAAAATTGAATATTTATTTCAATTATTTTTTAAGTTCATTTCATTTTCTAAAGCAGCATAGCATAATTAGGCCAATAAAATACAGAGGCTTACTCATTATGTAATTATGATCCATAGGGATGATAAACAGATGTAGTAAAAAAATTTTTAAATAAATAATTATTAGTTATAACAATATGTTCTGAATCTAGTAAATTTCTTCCTCCTAGAAACAACTATTGAAACATTTAAGGTATTTGGCAAAACTTCAGGGATAAGTAGTAGATCTATTCACAATAATGGAAGTGATAATTATACAGCTATACTTTTTAAATACTAAACTTGAGATTCAGTAAAATAGATTATTACCTTGACATCTTCGGTTCCTGTGACAACCTCATTAACGTCTGGCACTGACTGTAGCAGTGGGATCTCTTGATAAGTGTTTGGAAAGCAGACAAGCGAACCGAGAATGGTGAGGGCTTCCGAACGAGGAGCCTATACAAAGGTAGTCAACACACACATTTTTATAAGTTAGAAACTTCAGAAAAGGGACAAATGATATCTGATCATTTCCACCCAGGTGAATATTTAAGCAAGAGACATTTGCCAAAATGAAAGGCACATTCCAAAGGAAAGAAAGATATTACTTCATGTGTAGAAAAACAATTGTTGTAAAAACTGATGTTCAGATTCATTCAATCAAAGGCAAATGATTCAGGCATGATTCTTTAAAAACATTCTTGTTAGCTTTCATGCTATTGAAAGAGTAGTAAATAAGAGTTAAGGAAAATTCATAATGAAGAATAATAGGTGGAGCTAACTGTCAAATTCTAGGGAAAGAGAGAAGGTATCATTGATCAAATTTCCTGTGTCTCACACCAAGAACTATTTTGTGAAATAATGTAAAGTATATGGAATCCTGGAGTCCTGGTGTGGCACTATGGGTTAATGCACTGGACTGACTGCAAGGTTGGCGGTTTAAGCTCACCAGCTGCTCCTCAGAAACCCTATATACAAAGTCGCTATGGGTCATAACCAACTTGACGGCACTTAACAACAACATATGGAATCCTGGTGTGGTTCTGTAGGATAAGCACTGGATTGTTAACTGCAAGGTTGGTGGTTCAAACCCACCAGCTGCTCCTCAGAAACCCTATACAGGGTTGCTATAATCAGAACTGACTCGACAACATTTAACAACAACAACAAAGTACAGTTACTTGGTTGTCATTAATAGAATTAGGTAAATTATTAAAGGAGGCATTTCACTAGATTTCCATTTTAACTCAGCCAACACTTACTTGTAGCTATAATTAGCCAAGAATAGGATGCGATGCTCATATTGCAAACAAATGTCATGCATTCATTCATTTGTCCATCTGTCTGTCTACCCATCTACTATTAGCCAATAATTATACTGATGGTCCTAACACTCTAGAGTTCTCATTCTGTGCTATTCTAACTGTTAGACATGCATTACCTCATTGAATCCTCTCAACAACCAACCAATGAGGGGAATACTATTATTATTTTCATTTTGAATGTGAGAAAATTGAGACTCAGAAAAGTTAAATAACTTTTCAAGTTCATATATCTCATAAGTGATGGATGGACCCTGGATTTGATATTCAGGTCATCTAATCGTTGGGCCCATACTAAGTCTATATTACTAAGCACTTGGGATACTATTATCTTCAGAGAAATGATAGTATGGTATGTTGGTGGGGGAGTAGAGGCAAATAAACAGTGAAATGCAGTGCAACAATGGATGTTCTATGAAGGCCAACAATGGTGTACCATGAGTGTCCAGTACATTCACCTTGAACCCAGCTTGGTTCACACAGTCAAATGAAAGGCATACAAATGGATATTCTATTCAACCCAAAATGATGCAGTGACTAGTTTTGTTTAGGAAGGTTAGCAAACACTCAAATAGTTTGGTGTTAAGAACGGGGATCCTAGCCACACTAGGAGTCCTGGTGTGGCGCTGCAGTGCCAGGTCAGTTTGAAACCACAAAGTCTACAGTAGTTCATACCTGGACACTATGGGTCAGAACCAACTTGATGGCACTTAACAACAATAACAAGAGCTGGAAAGGATGAGTAGGAGCTGTCCATGAAGGTGGGAGTAAATGAGCAAAGATGAGGGAGGGAGACAAGTAGGTAGGAGGGGACCCACAGGCCATATGGCATGTGCTCTCATCTCATAACCTGAGCCCTGGAGGAGTGTGCTGTGAATGGACACTATCAGAGGGGACAGGAATCAGGCAGTTTAGTGAAATACAGCCTAAGTAAGAATCCCAGCACAGCAGAAAGGGGCAATAATATCAGGGATAGAGTCACTGCATCAATAATATCAGGGATAGAGTCACTGCATCAATAATA